CAAGATAATTGCCAAAGAGCTCAGAGGATAAAAGGTCCTTCTTCATAATGTCCACCCCCGCCCATTGCAAAAATCAATATTAACAACAAGCAGGACAGTGGCAGATTCTTGCAGGCTGCTGCGTCCCCAAAGTTGAAAATGTGATTTTTAGAAAATACTCAGCTGGACTAGAGAGAAAAGGAAGGCTTCCACATGAGTTCTGAACACACATCCAGTAGTGCAGTGCATGTGGAAGATGCAAGGCCTTTTTGTCCTTATAACCTCTGCTAAAGAACTACAAGGCCGCAAATCTGCTCTATATTTGATGAATCCTTTGGAAATACGCCAATCTAATTTCAAAGAGTTTAAGATCCTGTTATCTGTGGACCAACCCAATGATTAGGAAAGCCTTCCATCAATAGTTTGAGATGGCTGGATTAGAAGTACTGGACCAGAGGCCCTCTAGGTTGCCTCCAGGGCCCCCTGTCTATGATTTTGAGTTACAAGTTCGCACTTGCAATGATACAAGAAAGTGCACACTTTCTACTCAAAAATTGTTTTGATTGGCCTTCTGCCAGTTTTTATTCCTCCCTCTTTTCCCTGCCCCTCAAAATCTCAGCCCCATTTCTTTATCTATCTGGCTGTTTTCTCCAGTGAGAAAGTTGAACGTGGTGTTTTACTTTCCCAGAAAATGACTGCTTGTTCACAAATCATACTGCTTTAGAACTGAAAAGGAATTAGACTCAGAGGTTATGGGGAAAGAGCAGAGAAGGACAGACTTGCCTATGATCTCTCTATTAATTAGTGGGAAGAATTTTCTGGAACACAAGTTTTCCAGTTTCTGATCTAATGATCGCTGCAACTCACCATTGCAGAAAAAAATAATCAGAATCCTTTTGAAAAAGAAGTTTACTATGTATGCAAAGTCCCTTTTAAGAAGAGTAGTTCAACTACTGTCAGAAGAACCATTTACTTAAGATGAGTTTGTGCCCATTTCATAAGCCCAAACAGTAATTGAGTTTCCTAGAGATGAACCATTAACAGGTGCATTTTGAGCCTAGGTGATCAAATTTAAAAAGGAAGACATTAAACCTGCTTGCCAAGCTGAAAAAATATTTCTCCTTACAAAAAAGGATGAAGAACAGTAAATTTCCTACCTTAAGATGCAAAGAATGTGTAGCCCCCAACCCCCATCCCAGCAACAGGCTATTTCCTGGTTGAGTTTAAAAATTCAATGACGTTCCTGTTTCAACCCACACATCTGTGTCACTGTCAGCGTCAGTGGCAGGAAAACAGACAAGTCACCCTTTGCTAATGATTTCCTAACATGGAATTTCCTTGTATCTCCTAAAGCCTTTCTTCTTCCAATGCTAAACTGCCCCCTCCCTCTTAAACACATTGTACCAATGGATGGAAAACTGAAAATGGTCACGGCCGGAAGAGGATGGTTTATAAGCAGAGCTTGTAAGGAAGAGCTTCAGCACTTGAGATTTTTAAAGAGAGAAGAGGGGAAGGACTGCTAGTGTTTCTATGCCATTAGGAACAACACAGGGAGATTTCCTTCAAAGGAGTCTGGAAATCTCTCAGCTACATCTCTTTCTTTCCCTCTTCCTTCCTCCCCCTTTCCAAGTTTCAGTTTGAGCAACATTCTCACAGCAATACTGGAGGAAACAAACTCACGTCCCACAGAACTAGACAAGGGCAGAGGATGAGGCCCCCCCAGAGCAGGGACAGGCACTGGAAGACCACCAAAGCACAAAGCAACACAGAAACCCATCACTTTTCCCCTGTAGAGAATATCCTATTTAATATGTAAACTGGTTATCGAGAGAAAAGAGGGCTGTTACTTTAAGGGGAAGAAGCTGATTAGCTGCTCTGGCTGGCAGCAAACAGCTGGTCTGTCCGGCAGGTTCAAGGCCATTTCAGCTTCTCTCTTATGGAGGCACCATATGTTCCATCTCGCACATCAGCAGCTTTATTTTCCAATGATCTTGCTCCAGAAGAGAAGCACAAAGGGGGGAGGAGAAGGTAGAACCAGTAGTTTACCCTTTGATTACTTTCTGGTGGTTTTAGATGCAGTTTGGATGTATGTGGTGTGTGTGTGTGTGTGTGTGTGTGTGTGTGTGTGTGTGTGTGTAGGGGGCTGGGAGAGTTTAAAGCTTTACCTTCTTCTCCAAAGAGTAGAGAGCAAATGTTCAACTAACACTTATATATTAATAACCTCCAGAGATAGGAATGGAAGTGGAGTTGGGTAAAGATACCTGAAAAGGCCCAAATGAAACGTCGACATCAGCTTAAATGCTCATGGGGGGTGCAGAGGCAGCGAGAGATCATAAGGAATCTATGCTCCATAAACCCACTAGCCTGAGCTGCAGTCCCGCCCACTTCTTCTTGTCTTTTTTTTTTTTTTCCTTATTGTTAGTATTCCCTTCCTGAACAAAGTTTGGGAGAAGAGAAGTGGAGCATTTTGGATGATAGAGAAGAAGCAGGCTGATGTCACCATTCCTCCGTGCAAACCCTGGTTCCTCCAAGTTTTGGGGGGAAGCAGGTGTAAGGGGAAGGTCTCACTAAGTTGTAAATGCAACTAAACCTGACTGCCTGAGCGTCTGGGACACCCACAGGCGCCAAATGCTGGGTCCCTGCAGAGGCAGCAAGCCGGTGCGTGGTCCAGCGCAGTCATTCTAGTTCTCACTGCCCGCCCAAGCTGCACGAACCCTGGAGGTAGCAGCTCCTACTCCCTCGGCGCCACTAAACAAAGGGCACCCGCGAAGAGTTTCAGCCGTTGTGTGTGTGTGTGTGTGTGTGTGTGTGTGTGTGTGTGTGTGTATACGCGCGCGCGGGGGGGGGGGGGGGGGGGGGGGGGGGGCGGGGGATAGGGTGCGGCAGAAGGGCGCGAGAAGGAATGAGGAGTGTAGCTAGATGCGGGTGACGAAAGCCTACAAGCCGCCGCCGTCTCCGCCGCCGTCTCGGCCGCAGGCAGGCGCGACAGCCGCCCTGAGCTCGGGCAGAGAGGGGCGTCCGCTGCAAAGCGAAACCGAGGAAACGGCGCCCCCTATGCCCGAGCCCTGCGACCGCAGTGGCCGGCAGCTTTTGCCCACTTCACTCAGCGTTGGCCACATCGGGCCCCCTCACCCGCGGGCTAGCTGTGCAAGCCCGCTGAGCCGTCTGGGTCGCAGGGATTTAGGGTGTCCAAGGCTGGCAGGCAGAGCGCACAGTGGGCACCAGGGGCTAGGGCTCCCCATGCCTTCCTGGGTTCCTGCAGAGGGTCCTTGAAACACACCCCCTCCCCCATCGCCTACATTTGCCCTCGGGTCCCAAGCAGCTCGGAGCCGCACGGAGGCAGCCGCCCCCGCCCCCTGCTTCTGCGTCCCTTTCCCCTTCCCTCTCTCCAGCCTCCTGGGAAACAAAGGGGCTTTTTATAAAGCGGATTGTTGGCGACAGCCGCGGCGGCGGGGGTGGGAGGGAGGGGGGGATCTATAAAGACAAGAAGAGGTGGGAGGGAGGGAAGGAAAGAAGCTGCGAGGCCTCTAGGGGCCCAGGGCTGTGATGGTGTCTGGGAAGCCCCGGCGGGTACACAGTCGACCCCGCCCGGCCGATGGGCACCCGGGCGGGAGTACGCGCCTGCCAAGAACTGAGCGCCAAGCCGTTGTGATGCTGCCCGCCGGCTCAGAGTCAGGGAACACATTCCCCCGCCGTGGACAGGGGCTGATGGGGGTGGCACGATTCCTGCCGTGGTTTCCTATGGGAGACCTAGACCCTCTACGTAGTCAACTCTTGCTCGGGCTCAGGGAGACTTTGCGTCTTTGTTACAGTGCGGTTATCTCTAGCAAGCTCGGATCACTAGCCCTCACAGTGTCCCGAAGCCGGCCTTGGTCGGCTACACGAAAACAGCACGTTAGCCCTGGGGACAGCGCCCTGAGGGGTTCCTTCTGCTGCCAAACAAGCAATAGGAGTCCCTTTTCCTATGTCCCCTAGCCACTCAGTGCTCCCGCCTGCGCACACACCCACACTCAGGGTGCAGGGGCTCAGCCGCGCCCAGCTGTAGGAACGCGGTGGGTAGTGAATCTCCTCGGCTGGAGGCGCATCTGTTTGCTAAGGTTCCGACGGCTTCGGGGCCGAGTTTTCTTGCAGGCTGATCCTATTAGTGTCCACTCAGTCCAAATTTAATCACAGATCAGAATCAGACATCAATGCCAGCTTTCCAGGAGGCTTCGGACACACTGCATCGGACAGAGCCTGGCCCAGGCCAACTGGCCGATAAAGTATTTGGCGGCGCTCCGGGGGGCTTCCCGCCCGCCCCAGCCGGCGCCGGGCGCCCGGCTCTGTTGCCACACGGATGCGAGAGCCTGGAGCGCTGAGTCTGGCACAGGGGCGGCAGGAGCGCGGGGTGGGAGACCAGTAGGGGCTGCCTCGAGCCGCTAGATCCGCTCAGGGCTGCACTACCGAGGAGGAGTTGGCAGGGGAGGGAGCACTGGGCAGCGGGCTCGGCGCGCACACACTCCACACTACTGCTCCGAGGCGGCAAACCGGGTTGGGGCGGGAGAATGTTTCCCTCAGTGCCCACTGCCCACCAGCCCGGCTTAGGGAGCTGGCATGCAAAGGAAGAGTCGCCAGTGGCACCTGGGCTGTGAGCGGCCCAGGGGTGTTGGTATGGAATGGGAGCCTCCCCGTAGCCCAGCGCAGCCCAAGGAGCCCGAGCAGCTTGCGCTCTCAACCTTCCCTCCCGGGTATATAGCTGCCTCCGACCGATTTCAGACGCCCGGTGGGAGCCGAGAAGCAAGCAGAGGCCGCGGCCCCGGGGTGATGCGAGCTGCGATCAGCCTGGTTGGGCTGGTCCGAGAGGGGGATGGCCATCCCCAGTGCCAGGTGGGCCCTGTGATCAGAGCAAACTTTGGGGTACCCCGGCTCCGCAGCACCCCAAGGTCCCGGATCCTCAACAATAGGGACTCTAAGTGGGGGCTCCAAGTGTACCCTGGAGCCCCGAGAGCAGTTGAATCTCCCCAGCCCGCCCTCAACCTTACCGTGTTGCGGAGCTCCGGCGGCGGCCAGGGCAGTGCCCGAGGGGCGGGCGGCCGCCGGCGAGGGCAGCCTGGCCCCAGGCGCCCGCCGAATGGCCCAGCCCGGTTGCAGATCACCCCCTGGCTAGCGGCCGGTGCCCCCGCGCCCGCCCGCCGCCGGCCGCTTCAGCTCGCGGCCAAGTTCATGCTGGCGGCGCTGCAGTGGCGGCCTCAATCTGCTCGCTCCATTCCCACCGCCCGGCTCCGCGCCGCGCGCCCGGAAGGTGGAGTTTCGGGGGTTTAAGTTACTGATAGGCATTTCTCACTGCTGTGTCACTCGGGGAGGAGGAGACACGCACGCCGCACACTCACACACCCTCACACTCACAGCGACGAGCGGCTTTGGTCTTAAAGGAGAAGCTGCGCTGCCCTGCCCGCGACCCCGCCGGCCTCGAGCTTGGAAACACTGGGTTTCCAGGCTGTGATGGGGCTAAAGGTAGCCCCAAAGCACCGGACGCCCAAGGGGCCTCCTGGGACCTCCATTCACTTTTTAAAAGGGGAAAGTCACCCCAGTCTGGCTTCACTGTGGCCACCTCATTTTTCCAGTTAGCTCGAACCAGGGTGACATATATGTGTGGGGAAACCAAAGGGGCGCAAGGGGCTCGGGTGCACTCACCTCAGAAGCTTCTCACGCTGTGGAGGATGGCCTGTGCCCTTGGCGTCAGGTGGCTCTCCTAGACGGTGAGCTGATGGGGAGAGGAAACATCAGTGTGACCAAGCACCCCTAGGCGCAAGCACACAGAGCCTACCGGAGGGCCACGGGCTCAGTCCGGAGCGCTAGAAAACCCAAGCCTCAGGTAGACCTCCTGCATATGGGAACAGCGAGATCCTGAGCTCTGGCTTCCCCGACACACGTAGAGAGAACCGGGAGAGTTAGAGAGCCAACACTCACCAGCGACAGGGCGAGTTAATGCTCCAGACTCACAAGAGATCAAGAGAGACAAAGGGAGGACAGAGACTGAGAGACAGAAATCAAGTGAGGTAGAGACAAGTGGATGGAGAGGGGAGGGGGCAGAATCGAACAGAGAAAGGGAATTGATAGATTCCTGTAGGACCCCAACACGTCCCAGCGATGGGATTCTCATAAAAAAGTAGCATATTTAAACCCTTTCCCCCTTCCCACTCTCTGCAGAGCCAGATTCAGCCCCATCCTCCCTTGGGGAGAGGTGCTCACCTGCAGTGGGTGACTAGGGGTGGGTTGCGCCCGTCCCTCAGCCCACGCGTCGTCCTCTGGCTCACCAGCTCGCACCTGGACCTCCAAACAAATCGACCTGCAGTGGCGGCAGCAGGGACCAGACTTCTCAAGTGGTGGATTATGAACTGCACCCCCTCCCCTGTCTGCCTGGTGTTCTACTCTTCACTCCCCGATCCCCTCTCTGGCTCTTGGCTCGGAAGCTGTCGGTGTTGCCTGCCGGTGAGCTTACCCAGGAACCCAGGCGCGCGGGCCGGCGGCGGTCTCCCGCCCTACTGGCCCAGAGCAGGCAAAGCCCCTACCCAAGCTGGGCTGGACTGGCCCTCTCCATGGCGCTATTCCGGGCCCGACACCTGTGGCTTTTGCAGGAGCACTGGTTCCTCGCAAGCTGCCTGGCCAGCCAGTGCACCGTCTGCTCTCTGCCCTGGAGCAGAGGCTGGCGAATCCCCTCCCCCATCCCTGGGTGCTGGGTTGCACCCCTTCTGCAGATTTCCCACCACAGGTGCGTTTACTAACTTGGACTTCTCTGGGCGGCGGCAGCGGCAGGGATTGAGAACCTCTTCCACTCGGAGATCAGCAGCGCTCTGCTCAAAGTACCTCAGAGTAAAGACCTGACGCTCCGCGGAGCTGCAGGCCATGAATAAAGGGGTGGGACAGCCGCCCGCTCAGCCCCTCCTCCCTCCACGCCTACTCCCTAGGTCCTCAGAAAGCGCCAGAGGGTCCCCTGCAAGAATCCCGCAGAATCTCTTGGTGGGCTACATGTAGGCTATTCTCCAAGGGTTTGAATAAGTTCGCTAGTGGAAGAGTGGCGTCTGGGCCCTACCTCAAGGCACACGTGCCGGACACAGCAAGAGCTTATCACCGGACCGGGTGAGGTGGGGTGAGCTGCTCCACCGCGCAGTAAGGAAGGAACCCACCTTGGCTGGGCCCAACTCTGTCTGCTTTGGAGCAGCAGGAGACCAGGAGAAGATATTGTTCTCTGGTGACTGAAACTAGTCGAGGTTCACACCTTCAAGACCCCACAGAATGGAAAGCCATCCCAGTGCACTCCAGGAGCTGAGAGCTCTGGAGTCTGTTGAAGGGAATCTGATTAAACAAATTGAAATGGAGAGTAACCATGTCTATCACGGATCATTGGTCGGAGGCAGCTGCACATCCTCTGAATGTGCATCAGCCGAGGACTTGGGAGATGGGATTCTATTCCCTTTGCCTTCCCTAGCCTCATGTCACTCTGCATCCCCAGGGAGACAGTGATGCTCATGATCCTTGAGTGTCCTGGAAAGACTGAAATCACAGATGCCAGCCAGCACCACCACTTAGATTGTCTCTAGTCATCTCAAACTGAGCTGAGCTCCTGTCTCCTCGCTTAACTGCCTTGCCCACCATAGTCCACTATCTCTGCTCATGATACCAGCATCCTTCAAGATACCCAGGCCAACAGGCTGGAGTGATCTGTGAGTCTTCTCTTTTGCTCACATGCCATATCCAGTCCAGCAGACAATTCTGTTGTCTTTGTTTTCAAAACACACCCACAGTCTCAGCCTTCTCTTCTCTTCCTCAGCTACCCACTGGTCCCAGCCACCAACATCTTCTGCCTGATTTACTCCAGTAAGCACCTAGCAGACCGCCCTGTTTCTTTCTTCCCTTCCATCCTCCCCTTCCCTCTGTGCAAAATCCTGCAGTAGCTTTCCATTTCACAACGAATCAAACCAAAGTGCTTCTTTTGGCCGGTGGGGCCCTGCAGAATCTGCTTCCCTGTCTCCACCATCTGGATGACATCATATTCCCTCTTGCCCTATTCTCCCTGCTTCAGCCTCATGGGCCTTCTGACTCTTCCTTACATACTAGGTACATTCCCACCTTAGGGCCTTTGCACTAGCTGTTCCCTTGGGCTGGAATTCACTTCCCCAGATATTCACAGACTGGCTCCCTCATTTCCTTTACTCTTGAAACAAATGTCACCTGGCTACCCTGTGTATTGCTTCAAAGCCCACGCCCATCTCTGGCACTTCCTCTCCCCTTCCCTGCTTTGTTTTCTCTCCAGTACTCACCAGCAGCTGCCTTTTCTGTAGGTTATAGTGGTGCCTGCTGTTTTCACTGCAGAGTTGCCAGCTTGTAGCACAGTGCCTGGCATGGAGTAGCTGCTCAATGAATGTTAGTAGATTCTGTTTTCCTGCACCTTTCCAGGAGATTCTGGGGGCCACAGGATTATGCACACATTGGGAAATGGGCTTTAAGCTGTCATCACATTTTAAGGAGATTCCAGGCCTAAACAAAGGTTAAGAGAGATGGAGGCCAATCAAAGAGCTTCATGTTAGCCTGGGCCCTTTTTCATATAAAATGCAGGACCTAGTCTTGTGCCAGCAGTATATAACCCTGCTTTTCTGTAGGCCTTGCTGTATTTTACTGACAGGATTATGTACCTGCTGTAGTGTGAGCAACAGTCATCTCCAGGTTGTAGATGAATAAATGGAAGGATCAGAGAGGTGGAGATATATGTCCAGCAGCACACAGCTCCAAAATGGCAGAGAAGTAACCAATTGGGCCTGAAAGCATGGGCGACTATTACTTGGTATGTAGCTACCTGTTTAGTGTATAAGTCCTGGCCTGATGGTCTAGGAAAGGAGAAGATCCCATATGTGATCTCAAGGAGCTGCCCTTTTCCTAAGAGAATCTCCTGGCCCTGTTGCTGAATGGGTGCCAAACAAAAGGTTGAAGCTGGGCCATTGGGGTCCAGGGGCACCAGGCCAAGGCACATAAGGGCCCTGCTTTTGGTCTGACCCAAGCTTGGAGCTCCATGGATTTGAAAACAATCAGCAACCACCTGTCATGCGTAGTCATATTCCTGTGAACTTATGCCAAGTCTTCCCAAGTTCATATGACAAATGCAGCAAGCTTAACTGGGTAGCCTTTGGAATTCTGTGTGTGGCTTATACAGGTAGGGGCCCATGGAGAACACTCATGCTGACTGAAAAGAAGAAAATACACCCACTGGTTCTATTCATCATCACTCTCTTGCTCCCAAATCCCCTGTGGCTCCCTACTGCTGAGGGAACTTAAATTCCAACTCCTCAGCTTGGCATTCAAGGCCCTCCATAGGCAGGCATCAGCCTGTATTTATTTCCAGATTCTTCTTTTAGTGCTTTCACACATGACCCTGGGCCTCCTGCCTGGCTGGATTGCTGTCTGGACACCTAAAAGTTCCAGCTTCTTCCCACTTGTGCACTTTCTTCCTGCATTTCCCATGCCAGCTCTTCTGTTGAAATCCTGCCTGGCCTTCAGGGTGTATCTCCAAGTCCTCCTCCTCCTGAAGCTAGGCTCAAGTACCTGTTTAGTGTGTAAGTCCTGGCCTGAGTGTTTTGGGGGGTTCACTCCCTGGTGAACTCATGAATGACCTTCAGTGGGGGCAAAGTGGGGTTTGGGGTGCCTTCTGGATGGCAGAATTAGGACCTGCAAAGAGGAGGTAGTAGGTGTGGTAGGGCTCAGCGCATGTTCAGATGCTGTTGGCTATGCTCACATGAAGGTCACCATCTCCCCCTGTTCCCCTGGCTCCCAGGCCTGCAGCTATGCCCCACTCAAGTAGAGGCCACATACCCACAGTGCAGTAGCATAACCACAGCCCCCAGTTTCTTGAGCTCCAGGGGCTGCTGCCTTGTGTCAGGGGAGTGGGTCCTCCTGTGCACCCATCCCTGGCCCAGAGAACTGTGTTCTGTGACCACAGAGGGCTGGAAGCTATAACCAAAAGGAGCCCAGGAATGAGGACATACACAGGTCTGTGTGGAAAAGGCCCAGGGTGGCCACTACCCCATGCAGAAATAGCATGGGAACCTGATGTGGCAGGTAGGAGGCGCTGGTGCCTAGCCAGGCTCAGCTGCCTGCTGACTGCTCCACCTCCTGAGCCTTAGGTCTCAGTGGTCAAATGGGGTCACAATAGTATCTACTTTATGTAGGCGCAGCCAGGGTCACAGTTCCCCACGTGCTGGACTGCTTTTGGCAG